AAAAAAAAAAAAAGACATCAGTATGCATTGCTTTGCCAACACTACCCAGGTGCAGTGAGCAATCAATAATACAAGTTTTATGTTAATGAGTCAGTTAAATTTTTTTTTAAACCTACTTATTTTTGGTGTTTTTAGTATGTGCATCAGGCCTTTCCTTTCTCATTCTGTAAGCTGGTTATTTTGCTCATTTGAAAAGCAGGTTCTTGAGAATGAATGAGGTGAATGAACTCATCCTTGGTAAATGGATAATATGTAGGGACAGGGCCTTTGCCTCAGGTCTTTAGATCCCAAGTGCCCTCCTGGTTTCAGCACCTCCAGCTGCCCTCCTTCCCATAGGACCAACATCAGGATCATCACCAACACCGGGCATTTTATTCCCGACAAGTGGTAAAGGCATTCTTACCCAGAAATAACTTCTCCTTCTGTATCTAATTTGAGACAAATGCTTCAGAATTGTAAAAACGAAAGTAATTTATTCACGAGGTAAAGCAGGTTTTCTATTGAAATTATTCATGCTTTCTGTTTCTACTTCTAGCTTGAGCAATTTCGGACCCTGCTTTTCACTTCCGAGGGGGAGAAGGAGAAAAGAATGGTGGACAACTTCCGCCCCCTTCAGCCACTGATGAATCGCACTGTCCGTTCATCCTTCCAGCACGATTATGTGCTGAACATACAAGCGAAACCCAAGCCGGCGACCAGCCAAGCAACCCCCTAAAACGTTCATACCTAGGCAGTATTTTGCCTTTGCTTTAATATACACTAGCTTACTAAAAATTGTTAACTAGACTATTCTAAATACCTGCATTTGATAATATTTACAAATGTGCATTTCTTAGCATGTGAGTGCTTCATCAGTCTTTGAGCAAAGCTATTCGGTACCAGCAAGAGACACAAGTTTCTCTTACAGCTACCTGTTGGTAATTGTAATGCCTTTTTTGGTCTCACTTTGTTGCCCAGGCTAGAATGCAGTGGCCCAATGACAGCTCACTGCAGCCTTGAACTCCTAGGCTTAAGCAGTCCTCCTGCCTTAGCCTCTGCAGTAGCTGGGGCTACAGGTGCTGACCACCTGGCCCCGCTTGTAATATCTTTTTATATCTGACATTTTTGAGCTATCTTTTTATGTTTATCCATTAGTGGTTCTATAGTGCTATATGTAGGGATTATAATCAAAATTTTTAACAAGTGGTAAGGCATAGACATTGACCAGAACTCAGGCCTTTCAGAAACAGCCTGTGGGCCCAGACTGGTGCTTCCTGGCTGAACATGAGTCATGGTTTAGGCGTATTTTATTTCATAACATGAATGTGTATTCTTTCATAAGGGCTTCTCAATGAGTATATTTGCCCCAGTCTTTAATTGTTATAAGGACATGATATGTTTACTTACTATCAATTTACGATGTAGAAAAAAACAAGGACTTTTCCTATATCCAGAAATACCTTTGCACTTCTGAAGATCAGATATTTTACTTAAAGGTCTGATCATATAGAAAATACATGCAGAACATTTTAAAGAAAATGCTTGGCCAAGTGCGGTGGCTCATGCCTGTAATCCCAGCACTTTGGAAGGCTGAGGCGGGTGGATTACTTGAGGTCAAGAGTTCGAGACCAGCCTGGCCAACATGATGATACACTGTCTATACTAAAAATACAAAAATTAGCTGGGCATGGTGGTAGACATCTGTAATTCCAGCTACTCAGGAAGCTGAGGCTAGAGGATCGCTTGAACCCAGGAGGTGGAAGTTACAGTGAGCCAAGATAGTACCATGCACTCTAGCCTAGGTGACAGAGTGAGACTCCATCATGTCTAATAAAAAAAAAAAAAAAGAAAGAAAGAAAAAAGAAAATGCTAAAAGTACCTAGAACTTAGAATTCTTTCATTGTACATTTCCAGAAATATTTTTCAACGGTCTAGTAATCTAATAGCCTATAGTTTATAATATTATTTTGTATTATTTGCACACCGTTACATAGTATATAATGATAATCTTTTCTACAGTAAAAAAGGTATCCTGTCTGAACTTTAAAACTGTCTGAACTTTATTTACCCATTAGTCAAGGTTCTTTGCAAGGCAGGTGATCAACTTAAATCTCTCAGTTTATACAGTAGTTTAGAAGACTTTTGTTATGGTCATAGGGAGAGAAACTTGTCAGATAGGCTAAACTCTAGATGTCCCTGTTGCTGTTGCTTATCTTGGAATGTTTCCAAATGCCTCTAAGCCTATGTTCAGACTCAATGTTGCCTCAATAACTGTTAGTATTTCTTTCATTAATATGTTATCCATCTGGTCTGCAAGATAGGGTTGGATGAATATACTTAACATTACTGAACTGTATACTTAAAGATGGTTAGGAAGGAAATGGGACTACATCAGACTTAAAACTTTCTGTGTGTCAAAGGAAGCAATCAACAAAGTGAAAAGGCAAGCTCTAGAGTGAGAGAAAATAATTGCAAATCATATATCTTATAAAGAGCCCAAATCTAGAATATATGAGGAACTTCTGTAACTCAACAACAAGAAAACCAAATAACTCAATTTTAAAAAATGGGCAAAGGACTTGCATAGACATTTCTCCAAAGAAGATATACAAATGGGCAATAAGAATATGAAAAGATGCTTAACATTGCTAATTATTAGGGAAATGCAAATCAAAACCATAATGAGATATCATCTCACGCCCATGATGATGGCCACTATCAGAAGAACAAAAAAATAACAAGTGTTGGGGAGGATGCAGAGAAACTGAATCTCTTGTGCACTGTTGGTGGTAATGTAAAATGGTGCAGTCATCATGGAAAAGAGTAGACAGGTTTCTCAAGGAACTGAAAACAGAATTACCATAAGAATTACCACCACAGTGGGATCTCAAAGAGATATTTGTACATCCATGTTCATAGCAGCATTATTCACAATAGCCAAGAGGTTCTGGAAGCATCCCAAATGTCCATCAACAGATGAATGGATAAAGAAAATGTGGCATATATATTCAACGGAATATTATTCAGCTTTTAAAAAGAAGGAAATACTGTCAAATGTACAATGTGGATGAACCTTGAAGGCATTATGTCAAGTGAAATAAGTCAGTCACAAAAGAAGAAATACTGTATGATTCCTCCACGTGAAGTATCCAAAGTAGTCACAATCATACAATAGAAAGTAGAAAGGTGGTTACCAAGGACCGGGGGAAGGGGAGAGGGCAAATTTGTGTTTAGTAGGTATAGAGCTTGTGTTGCAAGAATTCTAGAGATCTATTGCAAAGCAGTGTGATTATACTTAACACTACTGAACTGTATATTTAATGTGATTAAGATGGTGTATTTAAAAAAATAAGATGGTCATTTTTATATTTGTATTTAACACATTAAAAGTAAAAAATTAATTTCATATAGAAAAAAAGATAGGGCTGGAGTTGCACGTATAAGTTTAAAAAATATCGCTTTTAAAAAGGGGGAAATGTGAAGGCTTTTGCATGTATGCCCTAGGAAACACATAAGATTCTTAAAAATGCAAACATGGCATAAAATGAAATCTTTGTTAACTTTCTGCAGCTCACCTGTTTCAAAGTATAGTTACCTTTAAAAGGGTAAACACAAAAGATATGCATTTTCCAGAGCACACAGGCTTTCCTCCTAACTGCCTTGTGAAACGATCAGTGCAAAACCCTACTGCAGTGAGTTTTCCAAACTGAAGGGAAAAGTAATGTACAGAATGCCTGACATGCCCTCCTCCTTGCATCTTATACCTGATGTTCTGGTGTGATTATTAACCACACTCTTTCACTTTGAACAGTGTCCTGGTTTGCATGGCCACCTTCCCTGCAGCGGTGACAGAAACTGGCTTGAGGCAGTTTCGGTTTCGATGCCTTAGTTAGATGACCCTCAAAGGGGCACAGTAGATTTCCCTGGCTACTGATACACCTTAACAAGAAACTTGTGTCTTTTATACCCTCGAAAGTGTTTTGCTTATACTTTTTCCTAGACATGAAGGTGAAAAATGGGCCTAAGGTCTGTCAAAGGTCTTGGAAAATAAGCTTGTATTAAAATTGCTGTTCATTTTCATTAAATAATACTAGATCAATAAAACCCTTTCTTTACAATATTAGTGGTTGGTGAAAGACTTGCTTTCTGTTGTTTCGGTATATGTATATGTCTGTAAAATTAATGAGCTATCCTTTAACTTGTAGATTAGAAAGTGACTAAAATCTCATAAGTGTACTAAAGAAGCAACAATGGGAAAAGGTGGCCGATCCTCCTCAGTGCGCCTCTTTCTGTCGAACAGTACAGTGTACAGTCTGCTGATATCACCATATAGGGCAGGCTGTGATCGCCTTTCTCCTTTCCCAGGGCTAAATGGTGTCAAGCAGGTTCAGTGTACACTGGTTACCAACCTGAGTCCAGTGTGACAGAACACACTCATACCCCATAAATTACATGAAGCAGATTTATTACTTATAGACAGGAAGCAAGGGACAAAAGAGGCCCTGGCTGCATTGTGAACCAGTTCCCCAGGGCTCTAGAAAGCTGCCCAGGGCAGGGCTGATGGAGTCTTGACTGTACCTGCCCCACTTGCGCCACAGCTGACAGACCCCAAAAGGCACTCTGCCTTGGATTATATACCATAGGGGCCACATGACGCACTGGGCAAAGCTTTAAAGGACATCCTGCTTCTAGGGGAGAGCGGAACACAACCTGGCTGACTTGAACAGCTCCTCCCTACCTCAAATGTTACATTCCCTAAGAGGGACAAGAACAAGGGCAAACTGTTTCAGGCAGTTCTTCCATATCAGGATATTGCATTCCCAGTGCATTCTACAGTTATTCTTAAGAACTATAAGCAAGGAAGAGGGAAGAACTGGGTCAGTCCAAGGCCACCTGGAGAACTGTCTTGCACATGGGTTAGGGTAAAGTTGGCTATTCTAAAACAAGGCATCCACCCAAAAGAAGTCTTGGAAGATGTCTTTCTCTATTAAATTCAAATGATGGTAATTATAGTTTGGAAGTGGAATTGGCTTTTAGAGTTACTTCTGTAATGAAATTAACAAGCAATTCAAGCCTATTTCTGAAAATGAATTCAGTGGTTAATTGTTGAAAATAAATGTCTAACTCCTATAAAAGGAAATTTACATTCATTTCTAACTCATTAAAATATCTACGGCTAGGCACCGTGACTCAAGCTTGTAATCCCAGCACTTTGGGAGGCCGAGGCAGGCGGATTACCTGAGGTCGGGAATTCGAGACCAACACCCAGCCAACATGATGAAACCCCGTTTCTACTAAAAAATATAAAAATAAGCCGGGTGTGGTGGCGTGAGCCTGTAATTCCAGCTACTCGGGAGGCCGAGGCAGAAGAATCACTTGAGTCTGGGAAGCGGAGGTTGCAGGGAGCTGAGATTTCTTAGAAGATATTATTACTTATTGTTCTGAAGTGAAAGTCTGGTCTGATTCATAAGAAATGTTGCAACAACTCAAACACTGATGCTTTCAGAATGGGCAGTAATTCTCAGCATAAGTTCTGATCACAGGGGCAAAATTTGTGACTTTTATAGCTACAACATTCTGTGCCATCCAGGGCACTCTAGTTTGGGTATACAACTGCCAAATCTCCACCCAGAGAGTTTAGTTTTAGGCAAGAAACAGACAGGTAAAGGTGACGATGTGTACTAAACCATCATAGATGTTATAAAAGGTGGTTTACTTGTGCTAGAAATGCATATAGTGCCTCACCCCTCTTGAGGGGGTAAGGAAGTTTTCACACTAATGATGATGATGATGATGATGGTGATGATGATGTAACAGCTAAAGTTTTGGAGGCATCCACTATTGCCGGGCACTGTATCAGCATATAGCATGGGTTATCTTACTCAGTTTTCATAATAAAAGCCTTATAAGATGGGAACTATTATTACTATCTTTATTTTTACAAATGAGAAAACAGGAGTGGACATTAAGAAAAAAAAAATTTTTTTTTCAGACGGAGCCTCACCCTGTCGCCCAAGCTGGAGTTCAGTGACGCAATCTCAGCTCATTGCAACATCCACCTCCCGGGTTCAAGGGATTCTCCTGCCTCAGCCTCTCAAGTAGCTGGGACTATAGGTGTGCACCGCCACACCTGGCTAATTTTTGTATTTTTAGTAGAGATGGGTTTTCACTGTGTTAGCCAGGATAGGATGGTCTTGATCTCCTGACCTCGTGATCTGCCCGCCTCAGCCTCCCAAAGTGATGGGATTACAGGTGTGAGCCACTGTGCCCGGCAACATCAAGGAATTTACTCAAGATCACAACCAACCAATGCACTGAGCTAGACAAGGTCAACTTGGAGGTGAAGGGAACATGTGTTGCCCCAAGTCTGTCAGTATAAGAGGGATTAGGGTGAGGTTTTATGCAGAGTTTGGGCTTCAGTTGAGTAATTCTAAGGAGGGATTAGCAGGGCAGTAGTTTAGTAATTGGGTATCTCAGCAACTTTAACTTGGAGGAGAACGGAACAAACCTAGGCCAAGGAAGCTATTCAATCACTCAAAAGATGGAGGTTGTTAGTCATTTTACAGCTGTAATATATCCTTGCGAGGAACATTTTTTGCTTGGCCTTGTATGTGTACATTAAAGTCTGATTATTAGTTGGGATAATTTTTAGTTTCTCAATCCCTAATCTAATTGCTCCAGTTTAATTTCTTATCACCTTTCACTTAGATTATTGTGATATTCTAGCTTTATCTTTTAATCCTTTATATTGCAAAGCAGAGTAATTTACCTAAAACAAATGCAACCACAATAAGCCTCTATTTAAAAGCTTTCAAAGATTCACTGTTGTCTCTACAGAATGTAAACACAGCGTCTTAACATGGCACACCAGGCCCTCGTCCTTAACCTATCCCTCCCATCCCATCACTACAACTATTCCTTGATACTCTTGAATTGCACTTTAAATTGGATCGCTGGGCGGGCATGGTGGCTTGAGCGTGTATTCTCGGCTACTAGGGAGGCTGAAGGATCGCTTGACCTTAGGGAGGTCGAAGCTACAGTGAGTTGTGATTGCGCCACTGCACAACAGCCTCAGTGAAAGAGCAAGACCCTGTCTCTAACATATAAGAAATGAACAAATGCCAAAATTCTTGCTGTTCCCAGCATATTCCAGTTTTACCTCTCAGTGTCTGTCTTTGCTTATTCTGATCTGACTGTAACAGCATTCGGACCCTTCTCAGTCTGGGTAAAGGGCATCTTCCTTCCAAACTGAACTCTTTTTTTTTTTTTTTTTGAGACGGAGTCTTGCTCTGTTGCCCAGCCTGGAGTGCAATGGCGTGATCTTGGCTCACTGCCACCTCTGCCTCCCGGGTTCAAGCAATTCTCCTGCCTTAGCCTCCCGAGTAGCTGGGATTACGGGCATACGCCACCAAACCAGACAAATTTTGTATTTTTAGTAGAGACGGGGTTTTTCCATGTTGGTCAGGATGGTCTCGAACTCACGACCTCAGGTGATCCGCCTGCTTTGGCCTCCCAAAGTGCTGGGATTACAGGCGTGAGCCACTGCCCCGGGCCCCAAACTCAACTCTTAGCATCAGAAAGCTGTCCCTGATACTGCAATTGAGTCACACGTGATACTGGGGGGAAAAAAAAAGAAAAGTAAAAAATCTCTCTCTGAATCCCTAGGTGGACTATGTTATGTAAACTTCATTTGCCTGCATCATATTATGTATCGGTTCTTCTCTGCCCTTCGATTGTAAACTCCTCAGGGGCAGGAGTAACAGCTTTGCAGCCAGGGAGTTAGGTATGCTTGGGGCCCGAACAGGTATGACTGGCAGGGAGCGGAGTCTGGAGCTTTATCTGAAGCGCTGATAGGTGGATCGGCGGAAGGACGCAGAACCTGAAAAGTCGGAAATGAAGCCGGGAGAGCAGCTCTGTGCGGGATGTGACTTCATGAGTGGATGCTGAGAAAAGCGGGAGTGTGTGACTTTAACCGCCTGGCTACAACACGTCCTGCTAGGGCGAGGAGGGAGACAGTGATAAATCACTGGGCAAGTGCTGAAGCGACACTTACTTCTAGGGCGGGGCAAAAGCCCCACAGGATTTTTGCGGGAAGGAGCTACTGAGCCGCGTTTTGGAAGATGAGCCGCCGAAAGGTACCTCCACCCTTCCGTTTCTGGTCTCGTGCAAGGGGCGGCCACCCGGCGCCCGCGCCTGCGCGTGCCCTTCACAGCTCTTAGGCCTGCCCTTTCCTGGAGGGGCGGGGCGGAGCCGCCAAGATGGCTGCGCCCGAGAAGATGACGTTTCCAGAGAAACCAAGGTAAGCTACATACGGGGAGATGAGCAGGTGAGCGGGCCGACAGTGGCCACGGAGGATGTGGTAGCAGGAAGAAAAGGGAAGCAGGGCCAAGCCAATCGAGCCACCGTGACAGCGCGATTCCTTCCTGGTGCGCTCCCTGGTGCCCTCCCCGGAGTGTCACCGGGCGGTTGTAGGCTCAGGCAAGCGAGGAGGGGATCAGGTGGCGGATGGAGAAGACCGCCTGGGAGTGGGAGGATGAGGCGATGATAGATGCCTGTTCTGTAATTAAAATACAGGAAGCAATATTTCTCTCCTTAGCACCCGAACTATTTCCTTTCATTGGACTCAGAGGAGCGGGAAGCTCGGGCAGCGCTGCAGTGTAGCGGCTGATTGTTGGGTGTCTGTTTTTAAATCTTGCAGCCACAAAAAGTACAGGGCCGCCCTGAAGAAGGAGAAACGAAAGAAACGTCGGCAGGAACTTGCTCGACTGAGAGACTCAGGTAACGGACCCTTTACAGTATCCTGTTTTCTGTGTTGTGAAATTGTTCTGTCCACTCCAGCCCTAACTTGAAGCCCCAGTGTCAGAAGGAAGTCAAATACTGCATCGGGGGAAAAATAGCTGTGACTACTACCTCCCAAGTAGTTATTTACAAACACATGTTGGAAACAATGTTAACATACTAAAGGCGGGAAGAACTGTTGGCGAATCATCACCCGCTGATTATGTGTTATAAAGTGTCTAACATTATAGTTGCAAGCATCGTGAATTACATCAGCTAGCACAGTCCTTGTAGCACTCTTGGTTTCAAGTAATCCTTCCACCTCAGCCTCCCAAAGTGCTGGGATTATAGGCATGAGCTACCATGTCTGGCCCAAAACTCTTATTTATTTATTTATTTTTTTTTTTTTGAGACGGAGTTTCACTCTTGTTACCCAGGCTGGAGTGCAATGGCGCGATCTCGGCTCACTGCAACCTCCGCCTCCTGGGTTCAGGCAATT